GGATGGTGTTGGTTACAAGTACTTATTTTTTGGCTTGAGATCACAGAAGAAGATAATACTGTTAGGTGCTTAAGGGAAAAAAATGAAAGGAGTCATCAAAAATTGAATCCTGCTGGTAGGAGGAAGGTTTGGTTTCAGGGGGAGAGCAGTTTGTAGGGAGAATTACTTGTTTTACGTGGTAAGATGAAGAGATGGGTTCTAGAAGGAGAAAGTGGTGGGGTGGGTGATGTCAGTCAGCCTTTTTCTGCATCCTACTGTTGGTGTGCTCCAAATAATGGAGTTTCTGTGCGTTCTTTTGATGCAGAATCTGTCTTGAATCCATTGTAATCCATTTCAAATGTAGATGAGTTTGTGTTATTTTAGCAAATATATCCTCTATATAGGACCCTCTGGTCTTTGTCGTATTTTCAGAGATGTCATTGACTGAACCAGAATGTTTTTCACTGTCTGCAATAAATTATTTTTTAGCATTAGTTGCAGGGGAAAGAGCAGTACCTGTTGCCAAAAATCTTGGTCAAGGGTGGGTCATTTTTCTAATATACGTGTCTTTAGCATATGGTAAAAAGTAGCTGCTACGTATCAAAGGTTAAAAAGAAAATCCCCCCATAACACAAGCACAACAAATTCTGAGATACATTTTGAAAGTACAGGGAAGAAATACTCTGTGTTATTTTGATAGCATACTGCAAAACCATGAGTAATAGTGGAACATGTGGACATGCCCGGTGTGATTGCAGGAGGGATTTTTATGCTAATAGGTGAGGCAGATGTGCATTAGTACAAACTTACCAGTGCAGTTAAGGCACACCTGTTTCATCCGAAGTTGGTTTATTATAACACCCTCTTTACAACCCATCTGGTGCATCTAACGTCAGGGCTTGCATTAATGTAAGCTCCAGCAGGGCATCTCTTGGTGCTGGTAAGTTGTAACATCTTTGGGATTTATTCACAGAAGAAAATGTAAGTTTTCATTTGATTTGTGAGGCTCCTTCCTAATGTGAAATGCCAGTGCAGCAAAGTTTGATTCAGATGCAGAGACTGGAATTGAGTTCACAGGAATCAGGGGAATTAGTTTCTGGCAGAAATTTGCACATGGTCAAAACAAGGAACAGAGATAAATGATATGCTGAAGTCCTGCTCCTGATCTCTGGAAGAACTGCAGCATATTGCAAGTGTAGCTGGCCCCTTAGATAAAGTTGCACATCCATGTTTTTTAATCTTCAGGCTGTATACTCATTTTGGTTTTGTTTTGCCTTATTGTGAATTCTAAACCCTTAAAGGAAATGTGCTGTCTGAAAGGCTGTTTTCTGTTGTACCACCATTTGCTTACAGAATGATACTATCGCAGTGAAAAACTTCCTTTATCCACTGAAGTCATCCAATGAGTTTTGTCCACTTGAATTCTTTTAGGTTATAATAAAAAGAAATACAGAGCAAATACAAGTCTTCCAGAGATTGTTGGATGAAATAAACTCTGTAAGCGGCACTCGTTTTGTTCATCAGCTGTGCTACAAGTATTAGGGCTGAAGTGACTGCTTTAATGTGATTTGAACTAGTCATTGTTTTTGGCTGTCATTCTAAGAAATATTGGTGTTTGGATTCTTTAATGATAGCAAGTGATGTTAAAATACGTAAACCTTGTACATTAACCCTTGCTATGAATTATTACTTACTTTTAAGGCTAAGCTTTCATCTGACTTTTGCTGTTTAAAACTTAGTAACAGCATCACTGCAAGTCAGAAGAGAGATTGTGTTTTATGCTTGGAACAAGAGGATCTCCAAGCATGCTGCAGAGCACAAGCTCCCTGCAGTTTATCAGCACGCATCTTGAGGGAGGAGAGTTGTGGCTGTGTGAACCTGATGCAGCATTCTCTGCTGAAAAAGATCTGTAAGGCCTTGTTTTAGTGCTAGCATTGAGGTCCTTGATTTGGAAGGATTTGCAGTATTTTCTTTGTTGGGTTCTGCTTGTGGTTAAGGTTGCCAATGTATGAGTGGGAATTTTGAGGACAGTCAATAGCTGATGCGTTACCAGTGCTTTCTGAAGGTGAGGTCTCTTTTGCTCTCCGATTTACAGACCTGAAGTTACTTGAGCTGAGCGATTTCACTAATTCTCCATCCGGCCCAAAAGTCAGACCTCACAACCTCTCTGTGAAATGGATAATAGTTGGTAAAATGATACCTCTGTACTTCAGTTTCAGCCACCTGCAGAATGTAACAACACAACAGCTGCTTATTAGTGTATAACACCACCAGTCAGCATCATACAGTACTATAAACACCTGAAGTTGATGGAGGACTTTTAGATTAACTCTTTTAGTTATTTTAAATTCAGTATGTCCAAACTACAAAGATGGCATTACAGAAGCTCTGATGAGAAAAGTGTAACTTTTAATGACCACTTATGAAGAGTGAAGGCTTCTTTCCTTTGAAGTAGCAGTTCTTCTGTGACATTTTGGATTCATGCACTGTTAACTCATTGCTTTCAGGCCCAGCAATTCATGTGTGTTGCTTGGTGATTTTCATCTCAGCTACTTGGATACCTCGCTTGATGTCTGTCTGGGATGTAGGATAGAACATCTAGCAGAAAATATATTCAAGATTATAAGACTCGGTGAAATTTTAAGATCATGATATGAGAACACAAATAATAACATAATTGTTTGCCTTACTGTCTTGTCTGAAGAGCTCCTGAAATAGGAAGCTGAGCGACATGTGAAGATGGTAGTCGCATTTAGTTTCCTTGTCAAACACATATTGACCGTTTTTAAAATGCCATTTGAGTGAGAACACATTTAGCTTGTTCAAGTTTTGAAATGGGTGGGAGAAGTGGGTTGTGAGAATAACAAATGCTAATGTGATTATCCTTATTCCGCAGGGCTTGCCTCATTTTTTTTTTTGTTTATTTGATTTAAATGTCTTGGAATACTTCAACCACAGACAACTAGGATCTATACTGATAATGTCTATGCTAGATATTATGTGTCATGTGTAATAGTAGGCTTTCCTTGTTGTAAAGAGTTAGGCTAACATCAGTAAATTATGGTCCTTATTCTGTTCTTGGATGTGTAATCTTAGGGTTTAGGAAATAAGGTCTATCTGTTAGCTCATGTGAATAAGCAAAATACTGTATTATAAGGTCTTGCTTTTAGTACCAACCTTGAACTTTCTTTAAAGTACGTATATACATATGTCGGAATTAATTTTCCACTCAATGTTTGCAATGACTTTAATGAAGTGACACATTGATGTAGAAAAGTCTAAGATCTCTTTGACAACATGAGACGTTATCAATAGATAATGAAGATGTCATTTTTTAATTTAATGTGCTACTTCTGCTACAATTATTAGTATTTTAAGCAAACTTTGTTTAGTCATTGAGTAAGTGAGCTTTACTTTCACTAAATATGACTTCTTTTTATTAAAGTTGCAGATCTTACTCTTGCCATATGCAGCTAATTTTCCTTTGGGGGGAAAATGCTTGTTACTTTTTTAGTGGAGCAATCTGTTACCTTGTCTGTAGTCTGTGAAGTCAGTGCAATTCTAATTTGCATCAGCTAATAAAAAATGTGTGGGTTTTAAAGTGAAAATCATGCAAAAATTTTAAAAAAAAAAGGTGAACTAACGACTGATCATCTATGCAAAAAACAAGGCTAGAAATGTGATCAAATTAGGTCATGGCAGTGCAATTTTGTGCATGGCTGTGAGCATATCTACAGACCTTGCATGTTTTATCTTGGGAAGCAAAGCTCTTGGAAAATGTGCATAAGAGGGATGAAGAGAGCTTTTTTTTCATCCTTCTCTTCTGAGCGATCATTGGGAAAGCAAGATTTGATGTTGCATTAAGTGACAGAAATCTTAACTTCAGCTAAAAGCTGCACAGTTCATATAATTGTTCTGGTGCAACTCATTTGCAGAAGAAACAGGGCACAGTTGGTTTTGTGTGATCTGCTATGAAATGAAATAATTCTTTTATTATTTAATATATTATTGCAGCGTTCACACATGATAAGGGCTCCTGTCGCGAGAAACTTGCAGCCAAAGTGAACGAAAGGTCAGATAGAGGTTTATGAAGAATTAATGAAATAACACTGATGAGTACAGGCTCTCAACAGTGCTGTGAGAAATGGTCAGGCCTTGGGACTGATCCTGTTAACTGCAGATGACAAGGAAGGAGGATAAGGAGGGCTAGTCTGAAGGAGGAAACTGGATAGGGATTGTAACTGGCGGTCAGTAAACTTTGATACTGAAAGGATAGTTTTTATATATGAAGAAAAGGGTGAAGATTTTTGAGGTGGTGGTATTGCTTGTATTGTAAAGGTATCTTTACGTCTTTGTGAAATGCAGCGTGTGTTAGCCTGATCCATCATGTGAGGAAGAGGCACCTATCTGATGGCACTAGAAGTCCAGTTGAAGGACAGAGAAGTCAATGCTCTATGTTGTCAAGTTTTATTCTTTAGATAGGGAAGCGTAGATGGGATGGAGATTATTTTTTTAAAAAAAAAAAAAATCAAATCAAAAAATAACAAAAAAAAAAACCAAACCAACCAAAAACTCCACAAAAATGGGTTGGGAGCAACTAAATGCATCCTGAAGGTTTTTTTCTGTCATCTGACTCCCACAGGGGGATGTTGAGCAGTCAGGCAGAAATACCTACTGTAACCTTTGCATCCATTCTTGCTCCATGGCAGGAGCAGGTATACGTAATCCTTAAAGAAGAATTTAGACCATTTCTTCAAGGTTTACTCCAGAGAGGGAGCTCATCTCTTGGTTCTCTTGTCTTCCATAAAATATTCTCTGTAGCCTTTTCCTCATCTGAGAGAAGTAAACTCTCCCCACCCTAACATCTGGAGGACTGTTTGATAATGAAAGAAAACAAACTTCAGGGCCTTTTCTGGTATAACTGCATTAAAATGTAGAATTCTAGCACAGGTACAAAGTAAAAGTAAGTAAACCCCTCACTTTTGCCCTTTGCAACTAATAAGTAATATCATTTTTTTAAGGAGTAGCAGGTTGTTTGACACACATGGGCACACAAGATTATGAATAGTGAAGACAATGAAGAGTGGGACATCCATCAAAGAGTAACAACCTCTTATAAGGTAATTCAGGAACACATTGAATTTATCTTGTTGTAGTTGCAAAATCAATTAAGTACTTCTTGTTGTCCTCCATTTTCATGGCAGTATACGATCATTATAACCAGGAACGTATAGGTACATTTTCTCCTCTTTGCTTCATTTAATTTTTTTACATGCATGGAGAAAACCAGTATGTGGCAATCCAAATGCATACTGTGTTCTGAATGAGATTGATTACAGTTGCAAAACATTAAATATTAAATGCCAAATGGATAATGACTTCCAGTAGTCCTCCATTCCTTCTCCAAAGATTGATGCTATAAATGGGAATTTACAAACAGGAATTTTAAATGATCTATGGAGCAGAAGTGAAAATGTTTTCAAAGCTGGTATGTACCTAGAACTGTCCTGAAACCTTTAATGTTACAGTTAAGTATTCTTTTAATTTGAATTTCATTGCTTGCCATAGGGTAGAAGAGTAGGTATTACAGAAGCTGCGCAAGTGATAAAAGGAGCTGCTTATGCCTGACTTTGTCTTCTGCTTTGTATGTTTTAGTACTTGTGTACTTTAGTACTAGCTAATTTGAATAAGCTCTGCTAGTCACATGCAACATATGGGGCCAGTGCCAACTTTTTATAATGCTGCATTACAAATATACCCACCAGCTGAGAAGTGTGATATAAGGAGCTTTGCTTTTTCTTAACCAACTGTCTTCATAGATAGTTGCAGCAGGGATACTGCTGGCCCCTTAAATGAGAAATCCCATTTCGCTTCATCTGTTTAGTCATCCTGTCTCTTTCTGTAGCATTTTGAGCAACTAGTTTGACCTTAATTTTCAGGATCACATGAGATCTTGCATGTATTAGTCCTTTACAAGAGAAGACTGTAAAAATGGCAGTAGGAAGTTTCTTTGTATTAACTTTTGATCAGGTATTCCCAGTTTGAGAGATGGGTTTTCATATCTTGTTTTTGTACACATTCAGAAAGTAAGGCTAAAGGGGCACACTGATTTATTTTTTTTTTTTAAAGGACCTCCCCCTGACCCATACTTAGCAGTTAGATTCTACTGTCACTTTTCAGCTGTAAATCCAAAGAAAGATCTTGTTCCTGTAGTTGAAATGCCATTAACAGTACTAGTGGTGTGATCCAGAATGAAGTCAAGCTCACTGTCTTATAGGTGAGCATGTTCTGAAGTGCTAATTGGAGTTTAGAAAAGAGCTTAGCAAAAGCTTATTAGAGGCAATAGAAATACTTCCATTGTCCTCAGATTAACCAAGTTTCATTTTTGGAATATGCTGCAAAAGCGGAACTATTGAGTTAGCAGTTGCCGGTTTGTAAATCCCCTTTACTTTCAGTGTCAGATAATGGAGTTCATACTATAAAACAAAACAAAGCCAGTACCTAAGCCATGTATGACCTATTGAGCTAAAAAGTCTTCTTTCATAATGCTATGCTGAGATAGCAATTGTTGCCATAAATGGTAGGTTGAAGCATTTATAAATGTCAAAGATAGGCACTTGCTGTATGTAATTTCCATATTTGCAATGTAAGTAGGGTCATTGTAGCTACCTGTTAATTATGAGTTTATATCTCTCCAAGAAGCAGGTAAGTAACTTCTTTGCAATGGGCACAACGAGGTTATAGAAGAGTGAATAGGTAGCTGTGCCTTTAACTGGAAAGATGGCAGTGATTGATGTTTTCACTTTTCTCTTGTCTGTGTGTGTATCTGGATCGCAGGAAAACAAGTGCCCAGTGGGATATAGGCAGTTGATTGCAATGTCTTTTGAATGACCTATGAATCATGAGGATCTGGAAATCCTCACAATATTTATATAAAAGAAGGTTTAGGTGATGATGTGGGTTGACATCCTAATAAAACAACGTTGCTGTAAACTTTCAGTTTTGTTTAAAATTCATTTGCATCTTTAGAACCTTTCCTTGTACTATAATCTTGATTAACTTTACAGGAGTTTAAATACATTTTTCTTTTTCTTTTGTATCTTCTAGTTCTGTGTTAATATCCATTGCAACAGTTCTTTAATTTTTTTCTTGGACTCCTATTGCTCAGCATTACCTTTCTCATAGCCTGTTTGTATTCTGTTTCTTCTAATATTCCTTTCCATTCTAGGAATACCTGTTAATGGGATATGATACACAGTGTATGTGAAAATGTAAACACTTAACAGACTTTGTGTACTGTGGAAGAATCCCTAAATACCTGCATTTTTTTTCTTATCCCCAGCTGGGTAGCAAGTAGAACTGCAGATGAGTCCTTTTCAAACAGAGCATGGAGTGTAGTACTTCTTTCTTTCCCAATGTATGCTTGTATCTAAGGTCTTTTACAATGGCTATTTTAGATAGCCTTTTGGCCCATCTCTCTCATATACTGTATCAAGGTAATTATAAATTGAATTGTTCTGGTATATGTTCTCCTGGTGTTTGACAGGGCTACATTAACGGTACTTAGGTGTTTTCAGGTCTTGTATATTATCATTTTTGTGTTTGATTTTTGGAATATAGAGGTTCTTTGCAGTCTTTATATACTAATAAAGAAGTCCACAAGCCAAAATACAGACAGTAGAGTCTAATTAAAAAAAAAGGGGGGAGAAAAAGAAAAAATAAAATTAAAGTTTTCAACTTGAACATTAGTGTTACTAATATTCGTGTCCAGTATGTCACAGAAAAGATTGTATTGGTAAAATAGCTTCACTCAAGCTTAGAGGTGATACATTTCTAGAAAAAAAAAATCATAGTTCAGTTGCTGTAGCAATGCAGTGCTGTTTCATGCAACAATTTAGATCCTCTATTTAACCAGTATCTCTGGAGTTAGTGATATTAACTATGTTGTGATTTTTTTCTAAATTAATGTTGAATTCTGGAGATTTTTCATTTTGCTTATTGCTCAGGTCCTTTAATTGTGGACTCTTGGTTGGTGCTGTCATTTCTGAAGAAAATGTTTACTATTTATAATGTGTAAGTGTGAGAGAGAGAGATGTACAATGTGTATGATTTTTCTAGCAATAGCGAGGTTGTTTTTTATCCTATGTATAAGATGAATTTGCTCTGCATATATACAGTAAATCTTAGCATCGCTTTTCATCAGTACTGACTTTTTTTCTAGATATCTATTTCCTGGTCCCAATTCTAATTTATTCATGTTTTATATTGATTCAAGGTAACTAGTGTGACCTCATGACGCTTCTGTAAAAGCCAGATTCAGCTAGGATGTTACACCATCACTGTCGGAGAAACCCTGAACTACAGGAAGAGTTGCAGATTCAGGCTGCAGTTGCTGCTGGCGATGTTCACACCGTGCGCAAGATGCTGGAGCAAGGATATTCTCCAAATGGTCGAGATGCCAATGGCTGGACCTTGCTTCATTTCTCTGCAGCAAGAGGAAAAGAGAGATGTGTCCGTGTTTTTCTTGAACATGGAGGTGAGTTGCCTAGAGAGGAAAATCTTGATAGCCATCTCACAGCTTTCTATCCCAATTTCCATTGTAGGGCTTTCCAGCACCAATTGGGTATCAGACTACTTCTGATTTTTTTTTAATTTTTTTTAATTTTTTTTTTTCTTTCTTTGGAGTATTACTTTATTTCTGTTTACTTCTGATGCATACTCTATGAATGAGGTAATAGATTAGCTTTATATCTCAATACGTTTTTTTTTTCAGAATTGCCTAGGAATTGTTAAAAGAATGAATAAGCATTATGAAAACAGGGCAGAAAGACTCATTATAAAATTAAACGCACTCACAGCACACACTGTAGCCTTTTCTTATGTGTTAGGGGGTATTACTAGAGGAAGGCAGGTCCTTGAATTGAAATCCTAGGGAATTTTGTTTCATAATTCTCATGCAAGTTAACAAGTCGCGTTAAAGACTAAGTTTCCGTATAGGTTTTAACAGAGTCTGCTAAACTTTATGGAAAGAGTACTCTCCGTGCAAGGACTTTAGTGTCAGCTAGTCCAGTTGAGCGTACACCTCTCCTGCATCCGTCCATAGTGAAGCTTTATTTCAAGAGCTGTTTGAGTTTTGTTGGTTTAAGTGATTTACTTGCTTGAGTGATGATTATTACCCCTCAAATAGTACTGTCAGAATTTCTTTTTGCTATATCTTCTTTCAAGGCCACCTAAAGTTTTAGAAATGGATAGTCTTATTCTTTTAATGTGATATTGGAGAGGAAAAATAAAAATCAGTAGATGTTCTCCACATTCTGATTAGTGCTCATAAAGAACAGCATCCTCTATTCTAGTGCTGTTCTTATCAGTGTGAACTAAGATGTTTTCAGTCCCAAGGAAGCTGAAATTATCTTTTTGATGCTTTATGTATCTGAGGCCATATGGGCCCCTTATGTGTGTCGCAGTAGTTGTCAGATGTATGGATCACCCTTAAAATTGGATGTCATTAATAGGCTGTGGTATTTGCAGGATTAGTGACATGTTCCTTAAGAGCAGCAGTGAAATACAGCCTGAACGACAGGACCCCACTGATATACCTACTATGGATCCTAACTATATAATATTGGCAAACCTTCATGTCCTTATTGGAAAGGAGGAAAAAGCTATTAAATTGCATTAATAAATAACTTTAAATTCTACTTTTTAAAATGTAATATATGTGGATAATCTCAAGCCTTCAGTTTGATAATTCAAAATTTTTAGGCTGTCTCAAAATATGTTGGGTTTAGCTCTGTGAACTTGAAGATGATATGAAAAAAACCAAACCCTTATGTGTTCCTATGTATTTTCATTGTATAGGTTTTGATACTAAATAGCTGCTGATGCAGTGTTCTGTATTTATTTTTGTTGTTATTCTTTCCTGTACGAACTACTGGCTGAATCTGATGCCTTGTGAAAACTCCCTCTAATGAAACACCCTTGTTCTGGAAGCAGTATAGCGTTTAATCACCACCACTAGTAAGTTGAGTAACAAATAGTGTGAGAGTTAGTCATCTACGGCACCTTTCCTATAGCTGAGCCGCACTTCAGAAAGTTGGCACTGTTTTGTGCCTTGCCTTGTTTTCCCTCAAAACAGAGGCATAAAAGATAAAGAGTATTTAAAACATGATAATGTCACAAATGAGCTGTTAAGCAGTGAATGAGCTGACTCTTAAAAGCCAAGTTAATCATGCCAGCCTTATTAGTGAGAGGTTTGTGTCTACCTTTCTTCACGCAGTCTCCACCTTTCTCCCTCTCAAGAAGTGGATTATTTTGATGTTGGTGCTTAATCCCTGTGGATCAAAATGATATTGGGGTGAAGAAAAAAGTCTCTTTCTGGTGTGAATCTTAGGGTGAACAGACTGTTGAACTGACTGTATGTATTAGTAGTAAAGAAGATAGTGAGAAGATAGTGAGCGCAACTGGTGATAGTTTTTGCTGTCTCGAGGCATGATGAAGCTTAGCAGAGCTGGAAATATTTTTCATAGTATAGGAATGAGAAAACCACACTGGGCTGTTGCTGAGACTAGAGTGCTGTGCCTCAGATCTGAGATGCTGGAAGACTACTGACATAGTCTTGCATGGTAGTGGGATGGAGATAGTGTTTGGCTAATAAAGGCTGAGAAGGAACCTGGTCATTGACCTGAAAGTAAAAGGTAGCTTCTTATGGAAGTCATGACCTGGCTGCCTCCTGCTTTTGCTTTTTGTCTTCCATCATTGCTCACCAGCAAAGAAAAGAGCCAGAGGACAGCATTGTCCAGGCAAATTGGCTGATTTGAGTGGAGGTGGTGGAACAGGAGGAAGCTTTTTATTATCTGCTGAGCAAGGAAACACAGATAGATGGGGAAGGGGGGGAAACAAAACAAAACAAAAACCCCCCAAAAACCCCAGTCCAAACTAAAGGATGAAGCCAGCAGAAATGCCAACTAGGTACAGAGTAATAAGTCAGGTAATAAATAATTCTTTAGCAAGTGATGAAATGCAGAAAGCAGATCAGAACCATGGAGAAACTTAGTTTTCATGAAAAACAGTGAATTTGACTTTTAGTGTATTTGTCTCATCTTAATAAAGTGAAGATTCTGTGAAGCTAGCTCTTCCCATCCATAGAAACAATCTAGAGTCACAAAGCTCAACAGGAAAGCAATACAAAAATAGGGAGTGTAGTTTTCAGTAATCTTGGATTTTTTGCGTAACAAGCCTTTTTCCCCCTTTAGTGTACTTTCTTTTGTTTCCAAAATGACATATTGAGACAGCCAATCCAGTGCTGCACAAGAACTGTGTTTTATTAATCCCCAGCCACCACCGTTAGCGTTACAACGAGCTAAAGTCTTCAAAGTGTGTAGTTGTTAGCTGTCCCTTAGTGATACCTTCTCAATACTAGTTGAGCGGGACAGTTGCTGGTTACTCATGTTAAAGTGAAGAAATGATTCACTAAAGCTCCTAGAAATTGAAGAGTAACAGAAAAAAATAGCCAGACAGATGTATTTATTTTTATCCTTGGCTGCAAGGTATCTAAATTTTAGTAAGATCATGCAGAATTCAGGAGAAACTAGAGAATGCCAAATGCTCATCCCCCTAAACCAGCTGATAAGCTGTTTCTGTGTCCGAACAGTAATGCTTTCCTGGAAGTCCTTTGTATCAAGATTGTCCCAGAAAATTCAAAACAGAAGCTGTATGTAGCTATGTTTCTAAACCTTGTAGTCAGAATTAAGCCCTAGTTGAGGGAAGTAAACTTGAAATAGTGGAAGCACTTTATGAAGCCAGAAGCATTGCTTTCTTGGCTTCCCAAATTAGACTGTGATAGTGACCTAATGAAGGTGTCAAGAAAGAAGGGAAACTGTCTCACTGAGCTGTAAACTGAAACTGTAAAATATTAGACTCTTGTTTAGGAATCTACATATCCTCTAGATTACGGTGTTAGAGAAGAGTTTCATTAACAGTAGAGTTTACATGATTAGCTTAGGTGCCCAACTTTAATGTGAAATAAAATAATCTGAATATCATTGTGTTGCAAATTTTCAATCTCAAGTGAGCTTGATTGCAGTAATTTGGTACCCTTGATAAGCAGTTCAAGGTTTATGCCATTGTATTATGCATTGTATTAAAGAATATCAGAAGTGACCAAATGCAGCTGTTCATGTTTTTAGATTCTGCTCTCCCCAAATTAATGGTAAGCTTGAAAAGAAATAATTGTTGACAATCAGAATGGAGGCAAGATAAAGAAATGCTGGCAAGTACTAGCTTCGTCCCTTCCTAGTTAATTACACTTGTACCAGGTACTTTTTTTGGGGATTTTTTTTGTTTTTTGTTTTCCACCCCCCTGCAGATTCAGAAATGTAAGCTGAGAATCATTCCTGGTTCATTTCTACCTCGCTTGTGTTCCAGGGGGAGAAAGTTTACTTTACAGCATGATACCAATACTGAAACCTTTTGAAAAAACAAATATCCCCACAGCAACTCAGGTTCTTAAGGCAACATCAACTTTGTAGCATTACTTTTACTAACACAGGGACTGAAGGGATGGAATTGTATGCAACGTAACGCAGGTGCAAGTGCTGCTAGAAGGTCTTGTGAAGTTCAGAAGTTTCCCAGGAGATGGCAGCAAAACATTGCCAGAAGAGCCACAGACGTTTTTATCTTGTTAAAATTGTTTCCTTAATCAAGGAAGGGAGACTGGCACTATGAGCTCACTAGAAGCACACAATCTTAACGGGAATTACGACATTTTTATCATGGGGTTTTGCTACCAGCTTTACTTTTGGAAGGTTAGTTGTTTGTGGTGCTTAGTTGCCCGAGAGGCTTTTTTTCCTACTTTTGTTGAGACACTTCTCTTGCATGACTTAGTATTTTTTTGGTTCACTTTAGCAGTCAAAAGCAATGAAATTTTGGGAGTAAGGAAGGCATGGAAGGGTGCTTAAAACCATAGGTAAAGGGCATCCTTGTGTTGCAAGTAAATTGTTCGGTTTGGATTACAACTTGTATAAAAAACGCGTATACGTGCACACACAAAAGTTGGGGCATATCTGATTGAATTTGGAAATAGCGTGGACTAAACAGGCTAGTGGCAGTGTCCTGCACCTCAGCTGGGGGGGTAGAAAAGATTGACTTGCTTGCCCTATGCAGCGTGGAAGAGAGAAGGCACAACATAAATTTTTTTTCCCACTTTTTTTTGTGGAAAATGCACCTGGCTGCTGCTATCTCCTTTCCATGATGTCCATTTTTCTCCCTAATTCTGCCTCTCAGAATGTATCATCCGTCTGCATCTTAATTCTCATGCTTATGCTACTCACTTTATTCATCATTGTTCAGGAGCTAATCTAGAATAGTCTGAGCAGTGCGAAGACAGATGCCATGGGAGCAGCAGACAGCACTTTGAAATAGTATCTTTGTCGTTAATTACTTAGTAGGTTGTACTGATTCTTTGCTATATTTTGGACGTCGTCATAGTGCAGATTAGGAACTACCTATTCAGTCACTGACTTAATTTTCCTGCCAAACTGTGGATGCTTCATCAATTACTTTAACTCAGGTTTGTGTAATTTTACAGAGTGCTGAAATTTCTGCATTTCACAGAAGACTAGGAAGGCTATCGCTACTAAGGGACACTAAACTTTCCGTAATTCTTCTCTCGTCATTTTTATGTTCATATTCTATATACTAGAAGCAGTTCTCACATTGTATTTCTCTGTGTAGTCAGGCTGCATTAGTTTGTACGTTGGATTTTATTTGTTTGTTTGTTTTCTTCCCCTTGGTCTTCACTACATTTAAAAAAAAAAAGTTGCTGAATCGCCTCTGCGGCTATATTTTGTACTCTTTCTTGCCAGTCTTTTTATTTTGGTATGATGTCTATCAGTGTGTTATCTGGATATGGTTACAGTAGGTCCATGTTGGGAAGCTTATTCCTGTTGGTTTGTGCTTGCACCTTTGTGTGTTTAGATGTGTTCAGACTAAACTAGCTTGCAATTTATATTGTATTGTGAACTTAACTTACAGCAGGTCTGAATTTTGAGTTGCAAATTGATGTCTCTCACCCTCTTCCCCTCTCCTGTTTGAGGATGATGGCAACCGAGCAGAAAACTCTACCCTCTAAGTGGTACAGGAGAGCAAGTACTCCTCTTGAGCGATGCGTGTGAGCATTGGGTGTTCATAGCCTTCAGCCAAGTTTGTTTTAAACCTGCGTGGTCATAATGTCCTATTTGGTTTTGTTCCCCACCACCACCCCCCCCCGACTACTGCTAATTTCCTTCTAAACAATATGTATAGATGAGGAAATGACAAAGAATTCAATGCGCCAGGATGCAAGGGCAGGGCTGCCAAGGTTATGGAAGGTGGACAGACACCATTGCGCTTGTCTGCTCTTACAGATGATGTGCTTTGTGCGCAAATGTTGTATGATTACAAAGCAGACAACACCACAAGCAAGCAAGTGTGAAGGACAGACCTCAGCAGTTTTAATAGATACACAGGAGTATTGAAAACATGTCAACTTAAGGCTAACTAGTATCTTGTGCAGATAGTATCTCTCTTTACCAACTAGGAGACTTAGGTTAGGAAAGTGCCTCAAACTTCCAGACTGTAGTTTGTACATTTTAGCATCTGAGAGGCAGCGTCTACGGATGGTGAAAGGAGAAGCCTGGCAGCCTGGCTTGTTCTCTAGCTGAGAAATGGTAACAAGGCAGGCACCTTTCCTTCAGTAATTAATCTGGTACATGGGAATAATCACTTGCTTTACAAGTTTGGGTGTCCTGAGGAAATTAAATTAAGTAAATTGATTTGATTATTTTAATTTTTAAATTCATAAATCAGCCTCAGTTTTTGTGCTATGTTGGGGCAGGGGGGTAGATCTGTGTAATGACTTGTATTCTGCACTAACATTTTTCCTGACTCCTTCCATTAGCGGATGCTTACATTCTTGTAAAATCTTGAATTTTTGTAGAACTATAAATTCAGAACAGATTCATCATCTATAAAAACAGACTTTATCAAGATAATCTAAAATAACATATATCCTACATGCTTTGGAAATCCTGCAGACCACAGAGAAACATTTTACCTAATACAGTATTACACCCTAAAAACAATACAATGCTGCCAGACCACAAAACATCCGCAATTTGGGACAGCAGATGTTTCTACACATGCTTCTTTTTAAGACCAAGAAGCAACACAAGGGAAAATAAAAAAAGTTGAACATTGAGAAAGAAATGTAATATTGTAGAGCTGGAAGAAAACTGAATAGATGGATAGATTTGAGTAATTAGCCTAAGAGTGCTAGGAAGACGTGGAAAACTGTTTGTCAAATGGAAACATATGTATATGAAAGGAAAAGTCTTTTTTTGTGTAACTCACTCTTAAATTATATTTAACTTTTTCTTAAAAATAGCATGTTCATGAAAGCAAGAATTAGTTTGAAGTACAAAAAATCCTGTTATGCTATGCCTGAAAAGATTAACATTCAACCGTTTGATTTTTTTTTTTTATTTTATTTTTTTTTTTTTTACAGCACTGGATTACTGTAATGCCTTCTAATTATTTTTTAATTTTATTTTAACTTCAGCTGATCCCACAGTTAAGGACTTAATTGGAGGCTTCACTGCTCTGCATTATGCAGCCATGCATGGCCGAGCGAGGATTGCACGCTTGATGTTGGAATCTGAATATAGAAGTGACATTATTAATGCAAAGAGCAACGATGGTTGGACTCCCCTCCATGTAGCAGCCCACTATGGCAGAGACTCATTTGTCAGGCTCCTGTTGGAGTTCAAGGCTGAGGTTGATCCGCTCAGTGATAAAGGTACTACACCGCTTCAGCTGGCCATTATCCGAGAGAGGTCAAGCTGTGTGAAAATCCTTCTGGATCACAATGCCAACATTGACATTCAAAATGGTTTCCTGTTACGATACGCTGTGATCAAAAGCAATCACTCTTACTGCCGAATGTTCCTTCAGAGAGGGGCGGATACAAACTTGGGTCGCTTGGAAGATGGACAGACACCCTTACACTTGTCTGCTCTTAGAGATGATGTGCTTTGTGCACAAATGTTGTATAATTACGGAGCAGACACTAACACAAGGAACTATGAAGGACAGACCCCACTGGCTGTTTCAATAAGTATTTCTGGAAGTAGCCGACCCTGTCTGGATTTCTTACAAGAAGTGACAAGTATGTATGTAAGAGAAGTTAATCACAGGACGCAATGTCCTCTAAAAGCCTTCTTTGAATTTAGCCCCAGAAAAAAATGCTTCCTCTCTGCCCCTTGATGCTATTTAAATGCACTAGAAAATTTCTGGGAAGGTGAAGGGATTGTGATACTGGGAATCTTACTCTGCAAAGGTGCTAATGTTAAGTATATTTCATTTAAATTAATTTTGTTTAAATACCTACAGGAAGCATCCATTTTTTTAAAAAAAATGAACTGTAAAATTTCTTTTTATTAATGGCCTTGGCACATAAGATGTTTGGGTTTTGAGGTTTTGTTTTGTTGTTTGTTTAGGCTTTTTTTAGTGTCTTTTGCCTTTTTTTTTTTTTTAATTGCTGTGCAAATAGTCTGCAGTTGCTGGCTTTTTCATCTGGCACTACTACTAGGGCAGAAAAGAGCTCTTGCTGCTTTATGTTCTCCCACATTCTCTCTCCTTCTCTCCCTTACACCAGACAACGAAATGGCATAGTTGGTTCATGCAACTTGAACGCGTTTCATGTGCTGTGTAGCTTTGATTTGATTTTGTTGATGTCTTAGAAATACGAAAGAGATTTTAACTAATCATGGCTTCTGATATTTAAAAAGAGTATTAGGCTCCTAATACTCTGGTCACTTTTGATTATCAGTTTTTGGTGTACTAGATCTACTGAAAGTTTTCTCTTCCCCTCTCATCAACGTGGAATGCTATAATAGTTTTTCATAATTACAGTATTGCCTAAAGCATTTAGGAATTGCTGATTAGCAGTTAGCAGGAGTTTGCTAATTTAAACATGTTACAATGGGCTGATAAATTATCATCCAACTAGGATGATCTTTGTACTACAGAGGATGGGATATTTCGTATATCTTTTTTCCCCTATGGATTCCTTTTACTTTTTTGGATGTGATATATTTTTTTTTGTAAGAATTAAGCAACATATATACTCTGCAAAGAAACTGAAATTTAGTGTGGGCTGGGGGTGAATCAGCTGAAATCTATTGTCAGTAGCTGACACAAATAAGCATTTGGAAATTTATTTTTGTCATCATGGTTTGTGTTGTTATTTTTGCTCATGTCTGAAATCCAAAGAGAATTTTTGGAAAGCTGGAAGTTGATAATAAGAAATATAAGCAATTAGTAGATTTTGTTTTAATTTGCCTTCTCATTCAAATGTGTTTCTTTCTGATTTCCTTTTTGGGAGCCTCTCACTATATAGTAGCACCATCAGGGTTATTAGTAGATGATAGAATATCCAGACTTGCAATTTTTTACAGTCAGGGCATATCGGTAAGCATGAAGGCTTAGACTGCTTCAGTGTTTCCTCAGTGTCTAAAGACTAATTCAGAAAGCTGGTAGAAACCGGTACTGTAACTTTTACTTTTAGTTTGTAGATTCCATACCTTAAGGGTTTAATGTTAAGTGAGAAGTAAATTCTGCTGCAAAAAAGTAGCTTAAATTTGTGGCCAATCTAAGTAAGTGTTTGGAACTATCCCAGTTTTGTGCTGATGGAGGGGGAACTAGGAAGGCAGGGAGAAACTAGTGCTGACAAAAACACTTCAGCTTTGTGCTTCTGAGCAAAATTATTACGAATATATGTTTACCAACAGCTATAAACAGACTCTGCTGCCCTTATAAATATCCAAACACTGTCTTCCACAGTTTTCATGAATAATCGCTTTAATAAGATGGTGTAGAAAAGATGAAATGGATAAAGAGTGAGCTGGGATTTTGGTAGTGGAGTTCCCAATTAGATCAGACTGCGTACAGGGAATTGTTGAGATCTCACGCTGTAGCACTTCGGGGAAGAATCTTCTTTCTGAGTCTATTGCAATATCTGTTTACTGGAAGAAAAATTTACAAAATTTTTTGAGAATTCTTCTAGTGGAAGTCTTCCTGAAATTATCTCTTGTGGTTAGTAACAGTGCCTTGGTTGTAGAGCTTAACGGGAATTTCTAGTTTGTTTATTTGAACATTTACTAAGTGCTTAATATAGAACTCCATAGCTATAAGTTTTATATGTGCATCCAGAGTTTTGAAGAGTATATTTGATAGTAAAACAGGAATTGGTTTTTACTTTTGCAATAGATTAAAATTTTTAAGGTTAAAGATTAATATATGTGAATTATGGAAGTTATCAAACCGGTCTGTGTCTCAAGTGAAAGCAGTTGCATGCTTCATATAAATGGGATACTATTTAGCAGTCTACATGTAAGACGTAAGTACCTGGGTTTTTTATATACCCAGAAAACATATTTGTACTATTTCAGTTCCTCAGAAAACATCATATGTGAATTTCTTTTTGTTTTGGTAGGTATTGTAATCGATAATAATTGCAACCTTTAGCCCAGGTCCCCGGTTGTGAATAAACAGGCAAGAAACAAAGCTCTCAGAAATATTCAGTATTGGCCCTGAGAGTCTGCACGAAGATATTGGATTTTGGGGTTTGAGCCTGAAGGTCTGATATTCTTCCTGGTTACAGGTAGAGATTCCTTTGCTCCTAGAATAATTCCAAGAAGGAAGTTATTCTGTAGTTGTGTCTCAGTATTTAAGCATGAATCTGGAAGTTAGGAACAACGAAGTTTTTCATCATGAGTCTGCTGCTGACTTAGTGTTTAGACAGTCACTCATGTCTTCCCCCCCTTCTTTTTCACAATACAAAAATGAGTAAAGTCTCTGTGAAAAAACAATATTGAAGATAAAAATTGCTCAATGACTTTATTAGTCACATTCCTTTTCCTTATCTGTATTACACTTTCCTACTCCAAAAAACATTTATTAGCAACCACCGTAGTACCTGACATCATCTGATAAAGATTTGTTTTGGAGCACTTCAGTATAATGCTTCGGTTTTATGAGCTCTGAACCTCTCTCTTCAGGACTGTCAATGAGTTAAGCTTGGAATGCACAAATGCAACATTAAAATAGAGATGTACGCATATATTACGTATGAAGATAGAGATACATAGAGACTTTTTTTTTTTGGTAGTCTATATGTCTGCAGAATTAACATGTGCAATTACACTCCTGGATGGAATAACTTATGCTGAAGCTGAAGTTGAATGGGTTTTGAGAATATTAAAGCTTATAAAGAGAATGCTGGAGGTAGGAAAAAACGCAAGTATTAGAAAAATACTTAAAGGCTTAAATAAATTTTAAGATAATAGAAATTCAATTATGATCTCAAAAAGGGGAATAAAAAAACTTGAACCCTTCCACCTCCCCATAGCTCTCATTTAATTTAATCACTGTTCAGGTAACGTAGCAGACAAGAGAGTCTGTGACTAGCTATGCAAGTTGCTTGTCTGTATCGAGGAGAATAGCTAAGTAAATGGATATGGCCACAGTAGTGTAGTATGGCATGTATGTTAACAGGTATCAAAGAACTAATTTCAAATCTGGAACAAGATCTAAAGGTCACCATATGAATTAAACTACAAATATTTCATCTGCATTCATTTTTTTTTTAAATTTTTCAAAGGGCAAATCTTTGGCTTTGACTAGAGAATGCAGTTTTGTGTTTAGATTTATATAGCACTGTAAATGTGCAGAAAAAAAAGTTAAGACAAAAGTCCTGTTAATGAAATCCTTACACATTTTTTGTCTCTATCCCTTTGCTAAATAAAGATAACTTTTCAGTAGGATTTTTTTTTTTTTTACTGGAAGAACATTTTTTTTAAAGGGTCTCTGCATAGTTTAAACTTTTATGAATACAGAAGTGTCGTCGTGAATTAAGTAGACTTCTACATATTTTATTACATGAATAGTTGCAAAGGAAACGGTATCTTCATGTTTGTTATAACAACTGGAATTGCAAGCTTTGACTGCTTGCTTCCTTGGGTGCTGCTGGGAATCTTGCACTAATGAATGTGGTCTGCTTTGTCATCCAGAGTTACGCAGGGAACTAGGGTAAGAGGATTATTTTATAGTTTTCATTTTAGCTGGATCAGTGATAAACACATACCATCTGAATCATGATTACTTTCTGCAGATTGCAGGTACTTACTTGTTAAAGACCAGCATAGTTTTTAATACCTTTATAAAGACATAGCCCAACTCTTTTTCATTCTAGGAAGAGGGAAGGTACCTCTCAAATAATTGTGTAACTCTCAACTCAGAATTGCCTAGTGTGATACCGAAACGTAGCTACTAACTCAGAGTGCAGTTGACTGTTTATAGTAAGCAGTTGAATCATTTTTTGTATAGCTATACACAGGCATATATGGCTTTGCAAGAGTTTTTTGAAGAGGTCTATGTTAAAAAAAAATAATAATTTGAAATACATATTTTTACATGTGGCATCTAAGGTACAGCCACCCCCCACTCCCATTTGCACACTGTGCTGTACTCTGTTATAACGTAAAAATAGTGTAACAATGCATCTTAGGCTTCTCTTTAAGTTCAGAGTATTTTACCTAAAAATAGATAAACTTCATGGTATTGAAATTCTTCACTGAATTTCCATAGCACTTTCAGTAAGACTGAATTTATAGAAACATTACAAAAAAAACCAAACAAAACCTCCCCAAAACTTTATACAATCATATTCAAATCTTAATTTAATTGCTAAATACACCTGTTATAATTAACATTGAGCTTTACTGGCATTCTGCTTTTCCACATATAAATTTCCAGTCCAAAATACACTCTTCCTTGGTATGTATTTTCTGTGCTAGATACATTGAAATTTAGTAGACATCTGAAACTCACTGTGGAGAATTATTTTTCAAAAAGCAATGAAGAAATACTTCAAGCTCAAGTATTCTAACAGAGGCATACTAAACACAAAACTAAACTAGACTTTTAATATAACGTAACTTGTATGATAACCAGTTAAAAAGAATTAAATTAAAGCTCTCTTTGTCCTATTGAGCTAGATACTGGTTCAAGGGGTTTGTTCACTTTCCCAGTGAACACTCTTAATCCCTAAATTCAGCCCTGCATGTCTTACATTAATATATTTCAGACCTGTAGATTCTTGATACT